AACATCTCTAACTTCTTCTCTGTGCCCAAAAATGCCTCCCTGGGTTACAAGTTCCCTGAGAACAAGGATGGAGTCTCACCCATCTCTGTGCCTACACTGGACAACCTCTAGCAGTTTGCCCCGGAAAGATGTGCTGAGGCAAGCAGGCAACAGTGACCGTTTCCTCTGACTAGGCCTGGACTCCTCCTTGGATTCTTGCTGCTTTGTGGTTTTCCTTTGGGGGTTGCGGTGTTCATCTTTCTTGCTCAGATGACCATTTCTTTAACATTTCTAGGATCGCCCCATTTTACTGGTTTCTCTGGGAATTTTACTCTTCTCTTCCCCATGATGTTTATTCAAAGTTGTCTGGACAGGTTGCTCCAGCTCCAGACAAATCTGTCACAATTCTTATGTTTAATCATAATGCTTCTGAGCACCTATCAAGTACTTCATGCCAGCCCCTATGCTGGGCATTTTGCATTCATTGTTTCAGTCAACAGCCCTAAGAAGTGGGTGCTTTACTTATTCCAGTGCAGATGGAGCACAGGGAAACTGAGGTGAGAATACAAGCAACATGAAGGGTAGGGCTTACTTAGTCTGCAGGCTAAGTTAGGGCCCAGAACATATGGACTCATAGAGGTGTCTTGTCTAGGCATACCTACTAGAATTATTATGCAATGGTCCAGCAACAAACCTGACCTGAGCCCCGACTCAGAAAGATGGATGCCAGATGATCTCACTAATTCTCACAGGGGCTGCATTTTTCAGAAGCTGCATTTTTTTCTTTGCATATTGTGAACCAGACTTTCAACGTTACTGCTCTGGACTGCAAGAATTTTAAACTGTGTTTGAAGGCTGGAGTACAGAGGGCTGGACTAGTGAGAAGCTGACCATGCTAAGACCTGGGACAACCCTTGCTGAACCAGACCAGTCCCCTCACTGCATTTGAAAAAGGGTTTCACTGCTAAAGAAAGCTGGGAAAACTGCTGAATGGCAATTGTCTTTAAAAATATATATATATACATATATATACATTTGACATATCACTGTCATAACACTCTCACTGTTAGTCTCAGGTATCAACATATTGTTTCAATGTATGCATATATTGTGAAACGATCAACAACATAGTTAACATCCATCACTACACATGCTAATTATCTTTGAACACATCTGTTTCTCCCCCAGAGAGCAGGGACTGCACCCCTAAACCAGCACAGGGCCAAATGGGCTTCAGAAAGGTGAGTCAGACAGAGGGGCAGATAATGCAATGCAAAATTTACCCCCATCTTTCCCCGCAGGGAAAAGGTCTTGGGAGAGTTGAGTAAGAAACTTGCCGGCAGAATGATGCAAGGGAGCTTTTTGTACATATTGCAACAGGGGCCAGGGCAGCCCTGATGGTAGGTTCCCAATAGTCTCAGCCCTGCCCTACTCCTCTCCGATAAGCCAGACCTCTCACCCTAGAACTAGAGGCTGCTGCGAGCCCCAGGGCCTAGACTTAGCACTAAGTCTGTGCTCCTGGGTTCTGGCTTGAAACCTGGAGTCATTTCCATCATCTTGTGAACTTCTTCTCTAGTCCATGTCATCAAGTTGAGAGAGTCCACGGCCTCAGCATCTCTCTAATTAATTTAATGAATTACATTCTAATTCAGGCTGCATCATCATCTGTCTCCTTACTTCTTCCCAGGGACCCATGTCCCTCCCATGGGCCAGCCTCAGCACCGGGCACTTAGACTCTGATTCCACCTTTATGGAAAGCAGCCTTTGGGCAAGATAGGTGTGTAAACATAAGAGTTACAGGTACTCAGAGAGAAGCCAGGGATCTTAAGGGGCATGGAGGTAGGAGAGACTCCTCCAGGGGATTCTGCGGCATTGGGGTTAAGTGGAAGGATACTGAAGCTCTCCCACTTAACACCGTCTCTCTTTGCACCATTCTCTGCCCCTAACTCCTTCTGATTCTCTGTATGGCTAGCATTCATGGGCTCCCTTTTCCTCTGGCTAGTAGGAAGCCCTGGCCAAAGGCTGGCAGGAAGGAGGGCAGAAAGTGACGCTGCCAGGTCACTATGGGCTGTCTGGACTCCTTCAATGAAGACCACAGTTGCTATAGGTAGTCCCCACCCCCCACTCCCTTCCACACAGAGCTCCCTTTCCTCCTGGCTCCCTCCAATTGGCCCTCCAGACCACACACCCCACAACAGCACTAGCCTTGGGATAATGCACCATTCCTTGAGTCTTCCCTGTACCCAAACTATTTCTTTGCCATAGTCTTTGCACTAAAATTTCCTCAAATCACCTAATTACATATGGGCTGTTTCCTGCAGGGGCCCTCATACACGAAGAAGTAGTGAGGAAGAGTGCACAAGGTGGCAACTGATGGTGTTCTTGCCCGGATGATGACCTTTCTAAATCTCAAAACTAACCATATGCAACTCCTAAAGCCCTCTTGGTTCCCCACTGTGCTAAGGAGACAGTCGGACTCCTTAGCCTGGTACCAGGGCTGTCCACCACCTAACCCTGACGACACACCGATGTGCTGAAGTCAGTTGGAAGGTGAAGCTTGGTAGATGAGGTAAGGAGTCGGATGGCAAGGCCATGAAGCAGTCCTAGCTGGCAAACGCCTGATGAGTACAGGGTCATGCCAGGCTTCCTCCCCTTGCGGTAACCTCTGATCTTCCACCCTCCAAGTGAGCTGAGCACTGGGAATAAGTTTGACTCAGACGAACCCTAGTCTTGGGGCCCAAGGACTGATATAAATCCCAGCCCTATCACAGACATCTGACAAACTCTTCAAATCCCTATGGTTCAGTTTTCCTCATTGCAAAACAGGAACAGCCTTGCAAAGCTACAGGGAAAGCGTAAAGAAGGTATTGGATGGGTATTTGCTTCTGTCAAGTGGTTCCATTGCTGGAGGTGGTTCATCCCCCCAACCTCAGCCAGGGAAGCATATGAACCCGAGACTCAGGAAGGCCTGAGTCCTAGCTTTACAACTTACTCTGTGTTATTCTAGACAAGTCACTTTACCACTCTGCACTTCACTGGCAAAATGGGGTCAAAATCATCTCTTGCAGGGTAACTGTGATGGGGTGAGCTTACGCAGGCCGAGACCTAGGCTGGACTAGGGTGCATGGCAAGAGAATGTTTCTGTCTTTCACCCTGCCCCTCTCTTGCAGCACCATCCTCTCTGCCTTACAGGCTCGCTCTGTGCTATGACAATTGAAGGCTGCCATCACTGGAAGGCTTCTCAGAAGGACCAATGTCCCAAGGCCTCACAAACTACAAAGCTGTACCCATATTTCCTGATGGCATTGTGACCCAGGTTGGCAGCTTGACTTGACCTGTCTAGCCATCCTGATGGGAGGATGTGTGTGTGGGGGTGGTAGGGGGAAAGAGAGCAGAGCAGACCATAACAGACAGGAATGTAGGAATGGTGTGATTTATGGGAAGGGGGCCAGAACTCAGCACCAGGCGTGAGCCCCCAGCACCTGCCTCCCACATGGGAGATTAGTCCCAGTAGACAGAGCTTCCAAAAATTTCTTCTCTGTGCTACTTTAATTCTGGGTTTGGTTTTCCATTCAAAGCCAATCTGAACCAAGCTGCTAAGCAGCACCTTGAGCATGGTAGTGGGGGTTGGGGAGAGTAAAAAGAGGAAGATGTCACTCTCTGAGGTGGCCCAGAAACAAGTGACTGCTCTCCAGCTCTTGGCCTAACCTCTGTATCCCTTGGTGAATGCCCACATGTGTGAAGGGCTCAAACTAGGGACCAGATTTTATTGCCACTCCCCAATTCCACACTATCATCCTGCCTGGTCTTTCTAACCAATATAATCAAGGTGCTCTGCCCTTCACACCCCTCATCCTCTACAGGACAAAGCCCATGTTGCTTGGCCAGACTGGGCTGGGCTGACTAGTCCACCCTCATCTCCCAATCCTCCCTGCCTGCATCCCTCTTCAGCCACACCATCACTCCCAACCCCCAGACACACACATATTGAAGCCTCTGCCTGAATGAAGCTCCTTTTCTTCTGCCTGGCAGAATTGTATTCATTATCCCAGGTCCAGGAGCAGTATCATCTCCTCTTAATCTTCTCAATTAAAATTTTATGCCTGTCCTCTGTCTTTCCCCCTTATTCTCTACTTATCAGAAGGCAGTAAAAAAAAAAAAAGTGAAGCACTTTCTATCTGCCTGGCACGATGCTAGGCTTAAAAAAAAAAAACTTTATTTCTTATTCAAGGCAGCTCACAAAAGTAAGCGTTATTATGCCCATTTTATAGATTTAAAAAGTTGCAAGAAATGCAAAGCCAGGGCGGGAAGGGCTGGAAGGACTAAAAAAGAAAAAAAAAAAAAAAGAAATGTAGCGCCAGAACTGGACTTAATATGTTTTGAACTCTGCTGAGCACTGAGCAATCCAGAAGGGCACACAAACCGCTGCCCAAGGTAGGGGACTCTGCCTTTGGCCCCATAGCTCCCAGGTTCCTCTCTTGTTCCAGTATTGCTGCTAGGATCTGTGCATGGCTGTCTGTGGCTGCCCGGCTCGGGCAGGGCTCTGGGTGGAGCTGACAGGTCCCGGGTCCCCAGCATTCAGCAACATGCAGGGGTGTTTTTGATAAACACATGGAAAGAGCGAGGCAGTTTGGGATATTCAGGAGCCTAACCCTACCCTAATCCCCTTTCCAAGGTGCGCCCCTAGCACCTCCCGCCAAAAGACAAACACAACTCCCACACGCCCTCTGCCTGCGCCGCACGTGCTGGCTTTCCCGGCCCACGTTCCAGCTGCCAGACCGTACCATCCTCGCGGGGGGGGACGGGGACAAGGGGAGCCGCGGGAGCAACCAGGCGCGCCCCTTGCCGGGGGGGCTCGAGCTCCACGTCCCTCGCACACGCCACTTTACGCGCGCACAGCGGGGTTCCGGGCGCCGTGGGCGCTCAGGCCCGGCCGAGCCCCTCGAGCCTCCCCCGCCCCCCAGAACGCGGGCGGGCCGCGGGTTGGAACGGTCCGCCCCGCCCCCGCCGCGTCGGGCCCCGCCCCGTTGTGAGGTTATAAAGTGGCGCGGTCCAACAGCCCGCACGGTGGCAGCCACCGACGCTCCGCTCTCGGCTGCTGCTCCGGCCGCGACGGGCCGCCTGCCTCCTGCAGCGGGTGCCATAGCCGCCCCCGCGTCGGCGTGGTCCGCGGGCTCGCGTGCTCGGCGCTAAGCCCTGGCCCCGGCGGCCGGGGCATGGGCCAGGGGCGCGGGGTGAGGCGGCTTCCCGAGGGGCCGTGACCTGCACCAGCCTCAGCATGAAGACCCTCATAGCCGCCTATTCCGGGGTCCTGCGAGGGGAGCGTCGGACCCCGCCTGACCAGAGCGAGGGCCCCAAAGGAGGACCGGTGCTGTCCCGTGAAGGCTCCAGGCTCTGGGGTGAGGACTGCTGAAGGGTCTGCAGGGTCTTTGGGGTGCTGAAGCCGCCAGTTTCAGGAAAGAACGTGAAGGACTCTGAGGCGGGCGGGAGTTGTGTGTGTGTGTGTGTGTGTGTTTTATAAAGATTTGTTTTACTTATATATACAAGAGCTGGGGTGCAGGTCAGAGGTGGGGTGTGAGAGAGAGAGAATTCACCACAGAGTGGGGAGCAGAACAGGCATACTGACTGAAATACAGGGCTGCGGGGAGCGGCAGGTGAGACAGCACAGGTGTGCCAAGCCACGTGGTCAGTTCCCTGGCTGGGACGCATAACTTCATAGTGCCGGTACTCACCCTCGTGCCGCCAGGGAGGCTCCTGCCCAGGTTTGGTCCCTGGGCAGGTTGAAGCCCTAACCCCTTAGTTTTCTTACTGGGAACGCACCCTCCGCCCAGCCCCCATCATCTGGGTCTGGGATGAAGGAAGAATAATTATTACCTAGCCGGATCCAAGCAGCTTGGTGTGGTAGTCAAGTCTGGGTTTATTCTCCCCTCTGGCACTCATCAATTTTTGTGATCTGTTACATCACTTTCCTTCCCCCAACTTGTTTTCCTCAGCTGTGAGATGGGAGTGCAACCAAACCATCCACCCTATCCACCCTTCTTAGCAACTGGGGATGTTGGAGAACTACTCTCCGCACCTGACGTTAGCAGGGGGCCCCAACAGCCTCCCCTCTCCCTCACCAGGTGGAGCAAACAGAGACCGGATGGGGCAGATGACAAGGGTTTTGCAATCCCCTGAAATAGCCACCAGACAGGAACCTGGCTGGGACAGGTGTGTCTGAACTGTCCTCTGCCCCACGCCCATCTTCTCGCCCAGGCTCGGGAGCCCATTCAGCAGCAACTGTGGGCCTAGCACACCTGCAAGGTGGGAGGGAGGACCCTGGGTGCCCTCCAGAGAGTCCGAGAGTCACTGAGTCAGTGAGTCAGAAGCCGAGTTGAGAAGGAACCCCAGCACTCTCTCCACATCAGGAGGAGCATTCCTTCCACCATCCCCACCCTACCTGCAGCTGGAGAACTGGGGCAGGAGGAGTTTTAACATAAGGTTTCCTTAGCAGATACCTTGGCCAGCAGGTTAAGTACTTTGGCTAGCAGATTAATCTGGGAGACCCAGAGACATCATCACAGCTCTCCTGCTCTGAATTTCTTATTTGAAGCCCCACTTCCCCCTAGTCTTTATTCCACCTGTTGAACCTTTCCTATTTAGGATTTTTTCTTTAGTAACAGTTGCCCATTCTGCCCACCTTCATTATAAAAATAAAACCTGCCAATTATTGGAACTTTGAAAAATAGAGAAAATCAGGATAAAAATTAAGTTGCTAGTGAATCTACTATCCAAAGGCAGTTTCCTATTGGCATTTTACTTTATTTCTTTATAATTTTACTTATGCACAATTGTATAAAGTTAGGGCATGCTGTGGATATAGTCCTGAGTTCTGTTTTCTCCTTCTTAATGTTACATCTTGTTGTTCAAAATTCCTTATTATATTCTAGTGACTGCAAGGTAACCGCTCTGGACTGAGCCAGTTTCTGGTATGGGCGTTCGTCCCTGTCAGAACTGCTCCTTGCCCTTGGAGAGAGCAGGCTGCTCACTCTCGGGCAGACAACTTGTGCTGCCCAGGTCCCTGAGAACCTCTGACAGACTGGCCTCTAAGAGTGCTTTGATGCCATCACAGGGGAAGGGACTTGCCCACGATCAATCGTGCTTTCAGAAATGCCTTTCTGTCTCTAGGTGATCGGATAGGCATGCGCTTTGTGGTGGCCCTTTCCGGATCCCCTTCCCTTGCGTGTGCTGCCCCTTGGCTGCGAGCTCTGTCTGCCGGGAGCCTGCTCTCACGTGCTTGACCTAGAGTTTGTTATTCAGGACGACTTCCAGCAAATGATCTTACCCATCATATAATATTATATCAGGAGCATCCCCCATGTTGTGAAAGGTCTTGGAATTTTTTTTTAATTGACTGCATGGACTTCTATTATGGGATGTAGCAATGGGTGGTATGAAATGCAAACCAGTTACTTTAGCTCTCTGGCTTTATTTTGTGAAAGACTGGGAGGGGTAGGGGAGGGTACTAAAGAGAAGTTTATGTTATCTAGGCATCTGCATTAGGCCTGATTTCTACATCCTTGGTCTTGAAGACACTCCCTCGGTTTACTTCTGTGAATAAGATTCCACCTTTGTGAGGTGGTGAACACCTTTGTCGTTGGCGGTGTTCAAGGAGAGACCATGGATTCTGTGAAGGGAAGTCCTATGAAGGGTGAGCCAATGAGCTAGATACCTGAGTTTGGCCAAAAGAAAGGCTACGGTGGGAGCATGGGTAGGTGGGTGTATGCAGGGGAGAGGGGTGGGGGTCTGAGTTGGGACTTTCTAATCTCTTAAAAGACTGTCATATTCCCGCTGTGAAGGCTGCAGAGTTAGTCACATTTGCGTCCCTGCCTTTGCCTCTAGACACAAGGCTGTTAGGTCAGAACCTCTGACACCTGCCTATGTCCCCGGGGTTCAGTACAGCACCCAACATGAGATAAGGGAAGCCTCACTAAAATATCAGCTGATTTGTTCTATGTGACCCCTGAGTCATATCAGGAAAGTGGTAGGATTGGGGAGGGGGAGTGATTGAAAAGGGGGTGACTGGGTTAATATAATGTAGCAGCCCAAAACAGCTGTTGAGGACTGTAATAGACTGGGCTTTGTTGGGAATGGAACTCCCCTGCCCTGGGGGTATGCAGGCAGGGGCCTGGTAGAGGATGTAACTTAGAGGCTAATTATTGGGGGTGATTCTGGAACTGGGTAGCAGTCTTGTAGTCTAGTCATAATCCATAGGATAAGGGTAGCCTCTCGTGTTCCCCTCTCTGCCAAGTCTCTGTAGGTTTCTACCCCCCATGTCCCCACCACTCCCCCACTACCAGGGATGCACCCTCAGAGGTATTAACGTGGGTTTCCCTGGGCTGGGAAAGAAGGGCCAAGAGTAGTATTTTATTAGTGGCTGGGTGAGTCAGTGACCAGTGTGGAAATCCTGTGCCACCTCCACCCTCCCACTCCAGATTTCAGCAAGTACTTGAGTCATAGAATCGTAACTATCAGTTAGCACTGGATCCAACCCAGTGCTCACATCTTAATGGGAATATAGGGGTCCCAAGTGGAAGGGGGCTGCAGGGTCACCAAAGCCGGGGTTAGCGCCCAGATCCACCTTCCTTTCTGTGCCTTGCCAAAGGACAGGCAAGTGAGAGAGGAATGAGTGCCCGAGGGAAGTGTGGTGAGGCTTTGACGACTGCACTGGGGTCTTACCGGCTATTGTCACTGCTCAATGGTTTCTTGAATGAGTGATTGTTACCCCCAATATCCACTGGGGGGGGGTGGCCTAGTATCCCCTGCCATACTTTTTGAAGCCTCCCCAGCTTGCCCTAGTGGATAGAGATTGCATGAGCCCCACAGGAGCTTTAATAGTCAGGTGACTGCTAGTTGCTACTCATCATACTTCAGATCTTCCAGATGCTACCTGTGGCCATGAAGCTCCCTGGGTGGCTCCCATGCCTCTCAGCCCCATCTGCCAGGACCTGGCCTTCAGCATCCCCGCCAATTCAGTCCTAGCTTGTGACCTTTTTTGTGTGCTGCCCTTTTGCTGGATCTTTCCATGACTGGTTTCTGATCTTTCAGTCTCCTGTCAAACCACCCCATCTGGAAAGCTCCCCCCTAGTTGCTACATCTTATTTTTTACAGCCCTTATCGTTGCCTAAATCATGTGTACAGATCTATTTAAGCAATTGTCTCCATAAGAATGTCCTCCCCTTGGCAACAGAGACCTTGCCTTGCTTTCTCAGTGTGGTATCCCCCAGCCTCTAGCTCAGTGCCTGGCATGTAGTAGGCGCTCAGTAAATATTTGTTGATAAATGACTCATTAATGGACCTCAGCCCTCACGAGTGCTGCTCTGTTCATGGCAGGAAGCCCCACTTTAAACTGCACTGTGATCCTTTAGTTTTTCTTCAGGTGTCCTCCTTGCCCACCTGCACTGAATGTTGAGAATGCAGCTGTTTCTACCCTGGAGACACCCATAGGTTCTACCTGGACTTGGCTGGATGGGATTTTACTCTCCCTGTTTGGAAAATAGGATCATAAATCTTAAAATTCTCGTGGGTGTGGAGATTCAAGTTAACCTAAGTGGAAAGTGCTTTGTAAGCTAACTTGTGACACTCGTGTTAGTCCTTGTCATTTATCCCACGTGGCATGGGCGGCTCTCCCCTCGTGGGGAAAGGAGGTGGGGAGAGAGCACACTCTAATCTGGGGCAATCAGGATGGCTTCCCCAAGGGGGAACTCAGGCCCTTCCTTTATGGATGGCGCACTTCTGGGTGTCAGGCCCTGTACTACACACACCGGTCCATCAGTCCTGGTTCCCACCTTTGAGGAAGTGAGATGAGAGCATGTACAAAGGATGACAAAGCAGAGTGCCCCACACAGTGACAGGGAAGGAAGCACCTAGAGGTAAGGAGGGTAAGGCAGCTGACCATTCTGGAGTCAGGGAAGCCTTCCTGGAAGATATGACAGTTAACTTGGATCTTATAAATAGGTGTTTGCAAGCAAGCAAGAACTTTTGGGTTGAGGAAGTATAAATAGAGGCAAGAGATTTGGGTGGGAAGGGCAGTCTGGCTCCAGGTCCTCTAGGAGACCAGTCTGGCTAAGGTTCTAGGGGGCTGAGTGAGAGACAGGATGCTGTTTCCAGGCGGGGGGCACCTATATCCGAGGGGATATGAGAGCTCTTGGGAAGGGAGCCTGATGTAGTCAGACTTCCAGGACCCCACCATTACTGGCACTTCCTGGGCACAGAGCTGCTGCTGCAGATTTGAGGGCCTGGGGTCTGTCCAGCCCTGCTCTGTAACTGGACATTTTGCGCATCTCAGTAATAGCCCTTCCGTACTTTCGGTCTCCTCGTCTGTATGACGGGACATCTGCCAGGCTACAGATTCAGGAAA